TCACTCCCGGTCAGTTGCCTTCCCGCCCGCATCGCGGGGCGGCTGCTCTCCTCCTCCTGCACCCAGCCGCAGTTGGACATGGCGTAGTGCAGGATGGCTCCCGTCACCGTCTGCGAGCCCTGGCCTTGCACGCACGCCTCAATCTCGGGGACAGAGAGCTGGCTCTGCAGGAAAAGGTGGAGCCGGCTGTCGGAGAGGAGGACCACGTTCTGCACGACCCTGCGCGCAGAAAGAGGAGGGTGAGAGGCAGCAGCGGGGTGGCCGGCGATAGCTCCGGCCAGCAAGGCCGCAGCGGCGTCGTCCTCTTCTTTCATCCAGCCCTCTCAAACGTTCTACTCACTTCTCCAGGAACTGCTGCAGCCCCTGTCTCCGCTTCTCGATGAACTCATCCGTGCTGCCCACGAAGAAGGTGGATTTCCCCGGCAGCTCTGGGACAGGCCTGCAGGCACAGAGCAGAGGCAGCAGTTCAGGCTCGGATCACCAGAGCAAGGAGACGCAGGGTCCCCACGGCAGCAGCAGACAGGACCCCGCTCTGTGCTAGATCCCAGGAGCTCAGGTATCCCAAGAGCTGGGTATCCCGTGTTCATGTCTGGTGTTCACTCTGTTCTGAGTCTCCCAAAGCAGTGCCTGGCTGCAGGAGAGGGAAAGGAGGGAGAAACGGGCTGCTTACACCAAGCCAGCATTCTTCTGGAGCTGCCGCCTCAGCCACACGAATTCACGGTACCGACGCCGCACGCATGAGGTCTTGGCAGTAAAGGCCTTGCTGTTGGTCTGCAGAAAAAAAAAATCCACCATGGAAATAATCCACACAACTGAGGGGCAGCGAGGCAGAGAAGGACAGGACCTCGCCTGCACAGACCTCCGAGCTCAGTGACTAAGGGATCTCCTTGAAGCACCTAAAAAACCCGAGCAGGCTCCAGGGGAGAAGCTGAGTGTCAGACCCTCGGCGACAGCACAGAAGGAGGGACGGGCTGCTGAGGGTTCCCCCTTCACGGCTCCTTCCACCCCCGCTCAGCACAGCCAGACGTGGCTGGACAACCCGTCTCACGAGCCCCACGGAGGGCACAACCGAGCTCTGCAGCTCATCCTTGTCCCCCAGCTCCAACTCACGTGCAGGAAGATTTTATAATCCACATAGGAATTCCAGGAGCCTTCGTTCTGCACTCGAGGGTCCTGAACACGCACCGTGGTCAGCTCCTACGGCACAAACGCTGCCTGAGCCCAGGGAGGCCGTGCTCGCCACCCCGCGCCAGTGTCACCCCCTTCACGGGACTCAGAGGGGACAAGGAAGCCACAAACACACCAGC